TTGGACCCTCCTCTCTGAAATTTGTGTTTGTGTTCCAAGTTTAATCTTTGCCCATTTCATTCTTATATATCATGAAATGTTTGTGTTATGTGCAAAAGTATGTATTTATTTATCAATCCATGTAGTAATTACAATTCTAATAACAATGTTAAATAAATATTTGGTAAAGCCATGCCAAATAGGTGTACATGTTCCTCCAACCTCCCAAAAACTTACTTCTTGTGCTAAAAGTACATTATTAAAGGTCAGCTGCAGATCACCAGCCAAATCCAAATCAATACCACTGACTTATACGAAGGAGGATTTTGAGCTGTATAGCAACAGACAAAACAAATGAATGAAGTGACTGGCACATGGGCATGCAGTAAATGTATGTTCTGAATAACAATTTAAACAAATCAAATATAATTTTTAATCCCTTTTTGGTCAAGAAATCATTATTTGTATAAATCTGATGCATGCATGTCAAGTTATATTGACAGTTTTATATTTAGAAATAAGAGATATTCACCTTTCTTAATGTATTGTATTAGTGGCTCTTTGGTTTCTTCATCCTTGCTGCAGTCCAATGTATCTTATTTACGGACTTGTATTTCATTTTAGATTTTAGATAAAAATCTTAAATATAGAAGAAAAAAATCTTTAGAACCTCACCTGCTAAGGAAAGTTTTTTACTTCATTTAGCAAATACGCATGCGTAACAGATCCCTGATAAAAACTGCTGAGTTTGTCAGCGTCACTGGAGAACTAAAGATGGTGATGACAGTCAGAGAGAGAGACAGCTGTCTGCTGGTGAAAGCGATCTAAATTTACCTGCAGATTAAGGCATGTTTCTCAGGTAAGAGTCAGCACACCCAGCAGTTTGGACTCCACCAGAGCAGCTTAACAAACTCAGAGAAGCGCGTCAGTGTTAAGGCAAACGTATGCATTAAAATGGGGCCGCAGTGGCCAGGAAGGGAACATGTGCACTGAGGAGTGCACATTTTACAGCCAATCTATGCTGATCACAATAAACTAACAGAAAAATGAATGTGCCATACATGTATAGCTTCCAAATCACTGAGGACAGATCAGATTTTCATGAGGTCTTAGCCCTAGAGAGCTATGCTCATATTTATGCATTGCTGCTGTATACGGTTATTTACAGTTTTACATATTATAAATGGGTTGAGTGGTTCTTCATCTTTAATTATATAGAAAAATCCTAGATGACTGCAGGGACAAATGCACCCCTATAAAACAGCAAGATCAATAAACACATTTTTTGTTAGTAATCTTTATTCACAATAAACAGTTGTCAGTTCTTGGATAATATACTAAATAAAAAATGTCAAAGAATGTCGTTCTACATGATGGTTTCACTGCGGCCACCTTTTGGTTTAAAGGGGAACTATGGAGAGAATTTTGTTTCAAAATAGATATACATCTTGTAAATGTGTGTTCAAAGACAAATACAATGAAATTAGGAATAAAAAATAAAAATACACACATAGAATCTGGTAATCACAAATTCAAAAAGGTTCCTACGCGTACAAACCATTAAATTTATGCACATGAACCACATGAAACGCACAGACAGGCAGCTATACGCAAATCAGGTTATGAGTTCAAAGCATTTTTTTCAGACATATTTCACTCTTACTGCTAGCCATGCCCCCCGTAGAGCAGAGCATGGGATTAGAAGAACATAATAGGAAAAGATTTTATATAAATTTCAAGCCTGTTTCTTCACAAGCAGTTTTTGTGAAACAAAGAATGTTATTTGCAATAAAGCTCTCCTGACATCTACTGGAGCTATCCGCCTAAAGACCACCATCGCCTTCACCTTCAACAGCCTCTCTAGCTCTTCTCCTGGCTCCTAGTTTTTCTCAAGCTTCTCATGTTCCATCTCTCTGATGATACAGTCGCTCAGTATTGCCACTTCATGTGTGCTGTTTAACCAGCATGGCCCCTCTATCTAGTGGCATTTTCCACTCTTTTACTAGTATGCCACTTTTGTAAATGTGTGCATGAATGGATGAATGATTGATGCAAAGGCCATAAAAGGCAGTGATGTGCCAATTTTCTCTATCTCTGTTCAGGTGCATCTTTTTTATTTATGACATGCACCAATCCAATCTAATACCTATAAATGGACTGAGCACATCGGCCTTTGCTGATACTACTGTTCAATGCATGCTCCATATATTTTGCCATGTGAGTGAGGGCATCAATCCTGACATAAATATTGTTAAAAAAATAGGTAACAAATTGGCAAGATAAATATAAATAACGCTTCCATTTAAAGTTTATTCCAAACCCATGTAAAGTGGACAACAAACAGACTTTATAACATGTCATATAATAGCAGCTGCATGCCAATGCTGGATCAGCATCTTTCATCCGATACAGCTAATCAGTCAATATCGCAGCTGGATATTCGATCGGTGCATCTCAATTATTTATACTGATCTTTTGTGTACATAAAGGATAAGCTAATTTTAAATCAATAATTTAAGCTTTTTTTGTGATATAATAAAATGCTTGCGTTTCAGGTAGTGAAAAATCGAATAAAGTCTGAATTTTAAACATTTATAAAAACCTGGTTTCAGATTTTCTTTGAAAACTTAGACAAACTTTATTGTCATGTGTATACAAAACAAAATTTTCATTTTGTACAGCTCTTTATTTCCATTTCTTAAAGTGCAGCAGTAATCAAATGTAAACAATGTGAGAGAGAAAAACATGGTGCAAAAAAAAAAACAATATTGAGTCTGAAATTGTGTCAGTTCAAAAGTATGATCTCACTTAGATTGAGCAGCAAGTTATTTTTTTCAAACATAGTTAGGTTTTTTGTTTTTTTTAACTTCTATGGTTGCATTTTTCTCTAAACACATTTCCACCTTAAAAGCTCCTCTCTGGGTTTAATTGTAATATTTTCATGGATTTTAAGTTTTAAAGTTTAGTCAAGTTTCCTAATTACTTCCTAACTTAAAGTAGCTCTATACGGTGAATCTTTATATATAAAAACTACATACTGTAAAATGTTTAAGGTTGAACCAACAACTATAATATAAACTAAGCTAAATTCAGTGCTTTAGTGCTGCCCTCTGCTGTTAAACAATTTAGCTTGTTTTGTTGGTTTCTCTAAAAGATTTATCCATTTCCCTCCTTTTAAATCAGATTTTTTTTTAAATCTGGCTAAGCCACAAACAAAGAGTTAGCAAAGAACACGCTTTAGTTTGTAAAAACACTTTATTTTTTCAAAATGTTCAAAAATATCTTTTCACAGAGGCACCGAAACATAAGCATCCCATCTCATTGGTCAGCGCTTTTTAAAAATCATAATACTAGTAACCACAAGGAAAAATAACAAAAACAAAAAGACAGAACATTCAAGAAAAAATAGGCAGTTTAAGGGGAAATAATAATTTAATTCTGCAGCTGGCAATGTGTTGTCACCGCTGCTTTCTGGGGCATTTCAAAGTGCACTCAACTTTTTTTTTTGTTTTAATAAATACAAGTGAATCAAAACATTTTAATAATTGTTCTGCCCAATGAGAAACAGTGATAATACAGTACAGTTACTCAAATAAGGCAAACAAACCCAAATGTGCAAAAACAAACATTTTATGCTAGTTATAACAAAGGGTCTCCTGTTGTGCAAGAAGTAGGTAGTTTCCATTTTTCACTGGCCTTATCCAAGCAGCATAGAAAAACAAAACTTTATAAAGAGGAAACTGTGCAGAAGCTGTGAATAAATAGAAGTATTGTTTTTTTTTAAGAAAGGTTTAACGTTTGGGATTTTTAAATACCAAATCTATTAAAATTATTAATTACAAATTGGTCCATTATTACCACACTTTGTCTTAAATTAGCTAAAAGCAAAGCAGCTGTATTTGCCATCTCAATTTACACTGCAGGTAAACACAGAAATTTGCTGCTGAAAACTAAGATAATTCATTTGAACATCTTTCCTCGGGTATGCAGTAAATCTGCAGGATGTATTTATTTTATCAAAGCCACATTTTGAAGATGTAATTGATATTAGAATCACAAGAAGGTCCCTTAAACCCTGGCAGTAGTTTCAACACTGGTGGGCGAAGTCGTCGAAGTTACCTTTTATTGATAAACTTGTGAAGAAATCGAAACTTTAATTGGGTTTCTTCTTTCGTAATAAGTTTTTTTTTCTTTTGGAGTAAAAAAAGCGCCTCGTCTCTGCCAATTTTTAATCGGTCTTAGATTATGGTGACCTTTTTTTATAAGAATGCTACTTTCTCATGTCTTCAAATCTTGGACTGTTTACCATGCTTCATTAAGGTTCATCACAAACTGTAAACCGTGACACATCACTGTGAGCTGTACTCTTGAATGGGATGACCTTCTGTCTCTATGAGAAGGCAGTGTCATTGCTACTCTTTTATTTATAAGGCCCTTCTTGGATCACTGTCCTCTTACATTCATACTTTATTTATACAGAAAAGCAGGGCCTCTTATTCCCTTAGATCCAAATGATCAGCTGTTGCTCACTGCTCCTTTTGCCCACACAGATCTAGGGAAGAAAAATCCCTCATCTATGCAGCTCCTTGTGTGTGGAATGTTTTACAAACAGACTAGAAGCTGACTGAGTTTTTATCCTTAAATGCTTTACAGTTGAAAATGAAAGAATTTGAAACGGCTTAAATTATCTGTCATTGTTTTTCATCATATGTTTTTTATGTACCTGTCATTTCATTTAATGCATTTCGGTTCAGTATGTAACTTTGCTGCCTCTTGGCCAAGACTCCCTTCAAAAAAAGGTTTTTAACCTCAAGGATTTTTTCCCCCTGGTTAAATAAAGTTTAATAATAATTAGCAGATATTTTGGATTTTGATTAGGATGCATCTGGTGTATAGTTTACTTCAGCAGTCAAATATCAAACTGACACCCCCACAATCCACCAGAGAGTAAAACTTACAGTAAGGTTGGCAGTCAGCATATTTCTGTGATTACTGTATATATGTAAATGAGTCACAAAACTACAGCCTCGCAGGATTACACTCGTTTACCTTTCTAATCTGTCATTTCAGCAATCCTTTTTCAACTCTGACCAATCTTAAAACCAATTCTTTGGAGCTTAAAAATCATACTCGGAAAGATGGATGACTAAGGTGCCTGGAAAAACATTAGACAATTGCACATAAAGTGCTAACATGCTTTGAAAAAAAAAAAAAAACTGTTCAATTCCTATATTATTCAATATGATTAGTTGCTAAAGGTCTATTTCATTCAGTCCTTCATGCACAAAAAAATCATATTACATATTACATCATTACACACTTGGTGGTAGAGGATAAAGAAAATGAACACTTGTTTACTGGAGGAACAATGTAAACCCAGTAATTCTCTAATGCTAACAGGCTTCTCTCCACATGTCGTCCTTTATTGCCTAAGTGTGATAATTCATTCTGATTTCTTCCTTATAGCTGCATTTTGAAACAAAAATAATGAATAAATCTGAAAAAATGTGAAGCTAAATGAAAACCTATATGATAGCATCAAAGGCTGGTTTGATTATCGGTGAGAGTAGGAAGATTGGGGTCTCTGTGCTCTGGGATTGGCTCTGCTGCTCAAGATTTAGCCTGAGAGGGTAGCTTCAAGTATAAAAATATTAATTTTAACTAAAGCAATGGTTTTGGATTTAATGCCATCACTGCTGATTTCCTTTTCCATGAGAGAAACTGAACAAAAAGAAGCACTAAACGGAAAAAAAGTTCCCACAAGTTTGAGTACATCCAACAGCACATCCTGTCTATTCCTATTTGTATCTGCTCACTACCCTTTTTTTAAAAAAATAACACTTATAAAAACAACAGTATTCATTTCATACAGATAGATTAAAATAATGCATAAGGAAAAAAGGCAGATTTCATGCAGGCAACCATATTTGATCCAAATCAATCCCATTATCTGAATGCCTCTGCACAATAAAATAAATAAAACAACCCAAGAATGATATCATTTCAAAATATTAGGTTAGTTTCTATAAAACATTGAACATTTCAGCTCCATGCATTGATAAGTTTTTTTTTTCCGTTTACTGTTCTAAAGCCACTGTGAGGGGACTCTGACAGCATGTAATAATAACCAGCGTCAGCATCACAGGCATCATGCGTTTACAGTATGTGATGCTTCAGCCTGGGTTCACTTATCTGCCGTTAGACCAGGTGAGACAGGGCCGGCTGTGTCTGAAGTCCATGATACCAACAGCCGTCTGATGCCACCAGTAAAACATCAGCACCACCAGTATGTGCCACAGCTGGTGGCTGGCGCCGATATAGTTCACCTGACCTGGAGGGAAAAAGGAAGAAAACATCTTCTAAAGACTGGAATTAAAAAAAATATATATATATATTAAGGCTGCAACTAACAATTATTTTGCAAATTGATTAATCTGGTGATAATTTTTTGACTAATTAATAATCGGATAGCAATATACTGTATTCCTTAGAGAACCCTTTAAAGCAGGTGAAACTAGAACTATATAAACTATATAGAACTATATAATATAATATAATAAAAGAGTTCTAGATAGAGCAGATTGAGGATGAAACGTTTTTTTTTTTTTTTTATTAAATGAAATATGTTTTTTTTTTTTACAATTTTGATATAATTACAGTGGGTTGTTTTGTCAGCTATAGGCTGTTTTAGAGTCTATACTCTAGTTAATAATTAATCAATTACTAAATTAGTTGGTCATTATTTTAATAATCAATTGATCATGATTAATCAGATTATCTTAAATCAATTAATACATCCATAAAGTTGAACTATAAATTATCTCCAGTTTATAAACTGTTATTAGAATATTAACAGATAAATTATGGTATAAGATCTGGTATGTTTACTTTCTAACAGATTTAAGTTGCTAGATCGCACTAAAGCTCTAGAATTGAATTCAACTTAATTTACAGATTTAAAGGCACTTGGCAGATTAGTTAATCTGATCAGATCATATTGGAAAGACTTCCTCTTTTATCATGATAGCTCTAATTAAAATCTAATTGAGTGTAATTAGAGAGTTTCAGCTAGTGATGTGTGACCATTGAGGATTAAAGATAAAGGTAATTAATTTACTACCTTCAGCCCCAGTTTTCTACTGCCGCCTACAGTGTTGGCTTTCAATGGAGCCACACCTAAAATACCAGGGCCATAAAAGGCTGTTTACTGATTTCTTTCTTTGGTAGATGCAGCTTTTGACAGTCAGGCACAGTGGATTAATGTGATCCTTTTTAAAACTGTTTTTCTTCTTTTATTTGATATTTCACCTTATTTCCTTTGCTGTAACTTTTAATTTTTTTTTTTTTATTATTATTCTTGTCTGTGTACCTGAACACTTTTATTTCCAATTTCTTCGACCACTGAAACCTGAATGTCTAACAATCTACCCTACTGATGCTGAGGGTGACATCCGATTTTTAACTTCCTTAATGTTTGTAGAGAAATTATTTGTAAGAAATCTGGACTGTATTTGATCTTTTGCTTAAAGAACGTTTTAAACATTTAACTTATAAAGACTCCATGTTTTCTCAACACTAAAGTTAAAACCTTATCTAATTTTATTTTACAAACCCACTGTTGTGTAGTCTAACCGAATGAACCGGATCTATGATTACACCCTAAAGGCCTAATTCTAATAAAACAGTTACAGGATTTGTTTCAACTAGTTGATAATAAGACACAAAAAACATCCTAATAAAAAATATGGGTTTATTTTGCTGTACAGTAGAGGCCCGGAGCTTTAAGAAGATTTACAGCACAGAGTTTGCAATATTGTTCTATGTTAAGCTGACCTGGAGCCTCTGGGTTTGAGGTTTATCTTTGCTGGAGGAGTCCATTGAAGGAGGCATTACAGCTAAAATAAAAGTAGTCTCTTTATTTTTATATTCCATAAAAAGTGCACCAGGCTAAGAAGTTTGCGTTTTATTTTCCTCTTTTCTGTCATCTAAACCCAAGCAGCTGAATGCTACCGAAACTGGTTCTGATGGATGTTCTCTTCCTGTTTTAGGGTAAAGGGCCTAAGAAGATGGCATTAAAATATACAACAAACCTGACAGCATTGTGTCTTTTTTTTTGTCTGCTAAAAAAAAAAAGGATGGTAGTTTTTATTTTACTCATTATAAAATTCATCAGATTTTGTTTATAACCTTGCATGATCTGGACCCGTTTGTTTTGCAAATTTTACAACAGATGACCTTTGGCACGAATTGGCACCATATAGTAATAAGACTCCATTCTCCTGAAACAAAATACAAGGAATACTTGAACGTTTATTGCATACTGCTTCTTAGGAAACAAAACCTTTGAAGTTTTTGTCCATTATTTCATAAACTGAGTTGAAACGACTCAGTCTGCCTTCTCTTTGTTGAATCAATACTTCTTGTTTCACAGAATGTGAAAGCAATACCTTAGAAAATATTTAATCCAAATTGTGATAATAGGAAGAATAGTTTGAAGCGTCACCTTGGTCAGATTTAAAAGGGGTGATAGAATGATTCTGTAGGGTATTTGGTGCTGGTCCTTAAAGTCTCTGAATAGGGTGTGTAACATTGGTTGGGCTGAAAATGGCATATTTGCTGTTCTTTGCACCCTAATGCAAGCCTGGTTAAAAGCCTCAGAATGAAACGACAGGTTTTCTTCCTTTTATGGTATGCTCATTAATATCTAGATGAGCTGTGCGCTGATTGGTTGGGTTACAACAAGCGAGGCGCCAAGCAAAGATGCGTCATAACAACAAGCACTCACTCACTTAAACATCAAATTGTTGATATGGTAGGGTGACCAGACGTCCTTTTTCCTTGACATGTCCTACTTTCACACCTAAAAAAATGTCCCGGGGGAATTTCAAATTCGCCCGGGATTTTGATCGACTACAGTGCATCATGTCAACCACAGGTCATTTCACCCACTGAACTATTGATATTCATCTATGACAATGTAAACTCAGTTTTGCATTCTATGACACATTGCAGAACTAAAATAAAAGCTAAGCTACAGAGACCCCTAGAGGTGATTTGAGAAAAACAAACATTTAAATTGAAAGAAATAAAAGGACCCATATCCAATTTTGAGTTTTGAAGTGAAATAATCCAGTATGGCTGAGTGCTTCTTACAAAGGCCGGTTATAGTTTTGAGAAATACATTTTACAATTTTAGGATCAGGTCATTGAAACACAAAAGTGTCAAACATGATGGAGATAAAGAAAAACAGGTGAAAAGTAAAGCTCACCAGGAAAATATCGCTCTGGTATTTTGGTGGCATAGAACAGGAACGCAGATCCAGCTATCAGGTACATTCCGATCACACGAGGCAGGAACAGCTTCAAATAGAACCGATTTAGACTTTTAATCCAAAGTGGGAGTTTCTTTGTTTCTACTAATGATGTTTTTCTTTTCTCACCTGCACAATATCAGATGCAAACCCTTCACTCAGCCAGATCCAGTGGCAGGCAGGAATCACCCCAATGCCTGCCACGCAACAGAAGATCGACATCCTAATAACCTTCCAGTCGTTGCTGAGGTAACGAGGATGGACCTGAGCGCAGAAGACGGCCAGGATCAAGGAGAGCACGGTCAGCAAGTAGACCTGCCGCCAGAACTGAGGGAGGGAAGAAAAAATTTTAAAAATACATCAAACTTAACAGCAAAAAAAAAAAAACAGAGATTGTCTGCACTCACAGCATTACAGTAGAAAGCGTAGAAGATCCCAGGAACATAACAGCCCAGGATGCCCACAGATATGCCGGCGTAATCCAGCGCCAGCCAGCGGCGGCAGGTCTTTTCTGAGCGGTGGCACGAGAACAGGTGGTAGCCCACTGAGCACAGCATGCAGACCTGCAGCAAAGAAAACAGGCACTCACACTGCTGGAAGGCATGTAGCTTCTCCTTCAAGCTCAACATTAAACATCAGTTTATTCATCTATGCAGAGAGCTGTTAAACAGGTATGCTGCCTTAATTAAACACAATATCACATTCAGTATTATTAGCAAATCTTTCTACAACAAGAACATTCAGTTTATCTAAGATGCTCATTCTAAGATGTACACTAAAGGGTAGAGATCTCTGTAATAGAAGCAGTCTAAACCAGCTAGTTAAGTCAGAGGTTTTTAGTTAAATTGAATTCTACACAAACTAGCAAAACACACAGCCACCAGTCAGCAGTTTATAGATTATAACTACTAAATGTCTACACACTCCTGTTAAATGCACAAACCTGCCACCACTGTGTTTAATCATAGGTAAGGTGTTTCTTTGTTTATGTGCAGTGTGTTTTGTGTCAAATGTACCATTAAAAAAATCAAATTAAAATTAACAAGATTATGGGATTATTTTAACCTGGCATTAATTCTTTGGAGGAAAAATCTCCTTTCTGTCTGCTTAGTTTAGACTAGAATCAAGCTCTGGTTTTTATATACTAGGGACGCACCACCGTGGAAATCCTTTTTAAAAATGATAATCGGTAGGAATGTTGTTATTAAGGCCTATAAGCAATAAAATACATTAAATATATGTCTCTACCGTTTCTAAACTTAAAAAAAGAGACTACGGCAGTGGAAATTCTGCTCCGTTTCTATTAAACACCCCTGAATCCTAGTCTTCGTCAGGATCCCATGCCCAAACCTGTACATCAGACCCAAAGCCCAACACAAGCTGAAAATAAATATTTTTATATTAAAGCAACTTTTACTGGAAGAGGCAACAAATGGCATAAATAATTTTACTAAGATCTAAACAGGGTTTAAACAGGAAGGAGGAACTCTAATTTAATGCTTTTTAATGCTCTTAGAAATAATTTTAATGCATTCAATAAGTACCCATTACTCTCATATATATATATATATATATATATATATATATATATATATATATATATATATATAGGCCAAATCCTTCGTAATCTTTACCATCGACAGGCTGCAGCCTTTTTATAAATGCCATGATAATCACATTGAATGAATTTTAATGCAAATGAAGGCCTTAATTTAAAAAAAATAATAATTAAATGACTTTTATTGATTTTTAATGACCCGCAGAAACCCTGTTAAATAGTCAATATTTAAAATTTGCAGCATGAATAACCATTGGTTTTTAGTTAAAAGCAATAGGCTCAAGCTAAACTTTAAAAGTGTGACTGGTGCTTTACTCAAGGTTGTCCTACTGTAAAACCGTCAAGCTTTCTTTTCTATAAGCAGACATAGAAAAGTACAAAGGAGAACGTTGAACACACCCACTGCCCGCTGAAGGATTTGCAAAGCTACTTTAACAAGTTATAATGACAGGGTGTGTAAAGTTACGCAACCAGGTCAGTGCAGCACCTTTTTGTTACATATCACCCCTCAAAACAGATTTGTTTTTGAGCTGAATTGTTCGTTATTTCAACAAAGGTTACCTTAAGTCTTATGTCCTAATTCAGCTGACATTCAAAAGGGCTGTGTACACCTCTGTCAATCCACTGTACCTCAACGTTCAATACACACCTGAATGCAGCTGACTGAATCGGCAGCAGGAAAAGTAATCCCACATTAATCAGTTTGTTCAACCAAAGGGGGAGAAACTGCGACACAAAAGCCCACCAACGGTGGACGGAAGAGAAGGCGCTTTGGTGTAATGAAGAAAACAACAAAAACACAGCTCAAATATACAGACAAAAGCAGCTTCTACCTGGAAGCAGAAGAGTCCTATAGCATAGATGACGTAGTCCTCCCTGTTTGCACCAGCAGCTGGTAATACTGAGGAGAGGTCATTGACCCCGAGAGAGAAAAAAAGGAGGAATCCAAGAAGGTGGCTCCAGATGTTCACAGTCTCATTAGATAGAATAAATATACTGCAAGAAGAACAAAGATCAAACATAACTGTAAGCATCAATGTAAATCAAAACAACCGGCTCTTTACAGATGATTTTACAGAACTAGGAGAAAATTTGTTTTATGCTTTGATATTAATGATCTAGAATAAAAAAATATTTTGACCACTAACCAAGATGCATGTTTATGCACTGCATTACATTCATTATTAGGTATGGGAATCGAAAACCGGTTCCTGTTCAGAACCGGTTCCGTGTGTTCCAATTCCATGGCACCGTTTGGCAGCTCGCTTCACGATTCTCTTAACGGTTCCAGGCAGCACCAGAGCTTGGCGCTGGGCAGCACGACTTACGTCACGTTTTTTACGCAAGTTACGCACATGGCATTCAGTAAGCAAGTACGACGTGACCAGGTGTAAGTCTAGGAAAGCAAAACAAACAAAAAAAATTGGTGTCCCATTGGGGAAAACGATGAGAAAGATGGCAACAAGGCGCTTTGCAATATCGATAAGCGAATCGATAAGGACTTGAATCCTTTCACAGCAAATCGTATCAATTCTCAACCCAATTCATTATGAATTGCATTCTTGATCACTGCTGCACTTTATGATTATGTTCATTTCATTTCACTGTTGTAAGCTGTTTGCATTGAAATTTCATTGTGTTTATATACAAAATGGTAATAAAGTGTGTCTAAATCATTGTCCTTTCTAGCTGCACTGAGGCAGAACACTGGATCCAGTCAATAGGGGATTAATAACAAATGTCTTTCTTTTTAATTTGTGTTTTAAAACAAAATAAGGTTGCTTTTAAGAAAGAGGTAATGATGTCTTAGATGTGTTAGAGAGATAATGGATGATCAGAACCTTTAGCATCCTGTCTGCTGAGTTCTGGTAAAACTGTAATATTTCTAGCTGCCTCTTTTGTGCTACTGAAGTCCTGTTTTCCCTGTGTTGCTGCTCACCTCTTCAGACAGAGTTTGGAGGTCAGGTGGGCCCTGTAGCCGTCTGTGATGTAGGGGTTTTCTTTGAGGAAGAGGGGGATTTGTTCGTAGGTGTACAGCCGGATCCTGTGTGGCAGCAGCACCGGCCAGTGCTGGTAGCTGCCCAGCTCTATGTAGTCGGTGGTTTTCAGCAGCTTCATCTTCAGCAGCATCTTGTTCCCCGGCTAAGCTAGCTGGGGACGTTAAGACTGCCGGTGGATAAAAAAAAAAAGGGGGGGGACAAAAGAAACACTTATCAATCTAACTGCAGCAGGCCAAAAGCAATCAATCAAAATACACAATAACAACCGCCCCCCTCAAATAAAATACAGTCTAAACGCTCGGGCTCGATGTTCTGATAATGTGTTTTAAAACCAGAAAAGCAAAACTGCCCAGCCTGTTTGTCAAACCGGTTTGTTTATGTCGCCTAGCAGGCTGAACCCCTATGCTAATGCTAATGCTAACAGGTAGTGAAACTTGCATAAAAATGAACCTGGAGCTCACCATTATGTGTCCTACCGCCCCCGAACTGTTATTTTAGCCATATCCCGACGGCTTTTAGGTTAGCTCGACGGTTAGCAAGAATCCCATTTTCGTACATTTATACAATTAATCACTAGGATACATGTAGAAACCCTAACAACACCAGCTTGATTTGATGGTAAATGTAAAAGCTTTAAAGTACGCGTTACTGCCATCTACTGGTGAGAGTGCAGAACTCTTCTTCATCATCTTCTTCTTCTCAATAATGGCGGATCGCAAACAAATTTAAGGTGCATACCGCCACCTACTGTAAATGAGTGTGTATTGACATTATTTTACATCAAATTCTATATTTTTAATTTTGTATTTTGTAGATAAATAAATAATGCTTTCCTTAATCTGTGAATATCCTTTATATTTCCCTCATTTCCCAGTATGCCTTTAAGTCTCCATTATTTGCCTGTCCTTCCAGCTATTCTTCTCAATTTCTACATTCTACATTTTTTTTCCCTCCACATCCTCTACATTTATCATTATTTTTCCTCCCTATTAAATATAAATTGTAATTTAAATAGGTATGACCCACTCTTAATCTGAACATTATTACTTCTGTGCTGTGTTTAACACCGGTGTGCTATTGTGGAGCTGTTTCATCCTCTAACAATGTAGAGGCCTACGTTTTTTTTTTACATATGAAAGTATCACTAAATCTTACTTGACTGAAATTTCTGGCTACTCCATCCTATTTGAGTAAATTAACTTAATAAAAAAAAACAGCTTTAAAAAAAATTATTCACCATGTGCTCAACGTTTATTGGATGAAATTTATTTTTCCATCTGCTGAGTCTGCCATGTCATTCTGAGGTACTACACCAAGTAGTACAGTATACTGTAATTTACTCTATTCTACAAACTAGAACCCCTTATTTTGTAAGTTTTATAACTCCAAAAAATATCTGTTGTTATGATCAAGAGCATTTAAATGCTCTTTTTCCAAAATACGTTTTTAATTTTACTTTAGTTATTTTTAGTTCTTACGAATAAAAATAAGATGAAGTAGTGCTACTTTTATTTGAGTAAATATGTGTTGGTTGCTTTACTCAGCCCTGTCTCTCGTCTATGGTGTCAATGATGGAGCTAATGCTGCTGTTATCTCAGATGCTTTCTGCATTTCCTTTATCAATGAAAGAAATGTTGGCTCTGAAAGAAACAGCTTTTCTGCCTGATGAAGTCTTGACATAAACACTGTCATTTTAAAGAAATGTACTTTTTTATTCTGATACCCATAGAAAGCACACCTGGCTTAATCCAGGTAAAGTCTTTAATTGAGTGTTTCATTTTTCCATTTAACTTGTATTCCCATTGTTTTATCCCTCTCTCCTTAAAAGTGCTCATGGATCAGTTTCCAGGTCACCCTCTTGTGCTCACTGTTAAAATAACAGGGGTTGCTTGCCACTATCACCACATACTTCTGGATTACCACAAAGGAAACAAAATAGCAGTTAGGCTTAGTTAGATAATTTCACAATTTGCGATTGTGTTCAACTGAAAATCAAATGTCTTTAACATAACCAATATAACCAAAATTTTGCAGATTCGAATTTGGAATGCAGACATAATACTCAGACAAAAAATTCGGGTGGTGTTTTGTGGAGATTAGATCAGGTTGAATTATGATCACAAGTCTGAACTGCATTGGAATTATTAGGATTGACCTGGATTTGATATCTGTTTACCTTGATTTATGTTGGATTTATTTGTCCAATAAAGTGCATTAAATAGACCCTTGAAGTTGGAACTATTCAAATACCGGTATATATTTATCTGCATTGAAGTACATTCACACATGTATCCACAAATCCATTCATGGGTACAAACAAAATCATTTAAGCAACCTTGACCTTAATCTCCTACAAAGAGTCAGAATGGACAGCAAAAGACAAATCAGGTTTTTTTGTTTTGTTTTTGTTTGATCACAGGCTTGAAATTATATTGCATATATATATTTCTTTAGTCTTTTTTAATAAAAAAAAAAAACACAAAAAAACCCACCCCTTTTTCCTTTATATGCTATAAAATGTTTCATTTAGCATATTGAATAATGCTCTGACATTAAATCCTGCTCATGCATTTGGTGACATTGTAATTATAACTCAGCATGTTTTTGACACCATGCAATAAGTCATGCTTTGTTTGTGCGTTTAATAGGCGAAGTTTATAATTACTCCAGAGACACTTTCATTTTTTAAAACTGTGAGCAATTGGAGGGACCGGCTGTGGTCAGAGTAATTCTGTCTCGGCTTTTAGCGGTGACAACAAGCATTTACTCATGCATTCTTTGCATTATTAACCCTCCATTAATCTGGTATTCAACAATCGGCTTGACTAATTGTAAACTTTTTATATTAAACTACAACTGATTTTTCCAACTTTGCACATTAAAAAAGCTATCCAGATAGTCGGATGAGTATTAGAATAAAAGAGGGTCAAACCACAGCTACAAACAAATCAGATAGCATTCATTTTAATGGATGCATTTTGCTCTGTTCTTATATGAGACTTTAATTAAATAATTCCCTGAATTAAAATAAAAGAACAGGTTGAAATCCACAATGCATCCCTGCACACTTCACAATGAAACTCAATCACAGAACAGCTGCATCTCTGATGGACTGATGAAGTCAACATCCCCTCCCTGAGGAGGTTTGCATAGAGAGCAAGTTGGGAGATGAAACTGATCTTTTCCAATGTGTAAGAAGCTAAAAGATCAATAAATCATGACTTAGCCAAGCTGTCAGTGACATAACATCTGAGTAATGAGTAATGGTGATCACGGTCATTCACCACTGGGGAAATCAGATATTGGATCTGACAAGAGTCCTTACACACCAAGGGAGTTAGAACGGCTTACTCAATTATGGATCCATCTGCATTGGATTTACACAATTATGATGCACTTCTTTAGACATTTTACATAAAAACACATTGTGCAGATGATTTATGAGACAGACAAAAGAATTTCAATATATTAGAACTGCATTGCTCTCACACAGAATGAGAGGGATGTTCATTTTTTTTATACAGCAAGAAAAATATGTTTGGTCTCATAAAGAAAATATTTAATTTTAAAATGAGTTTTTTTTATTTCCAAGTCAGATCTTAATCATATCTTTCTATTGTGTATAATGTTGTCAGCAACTCATGGGGAAAGCATGACTGCTATTACTGAAGCGTGACAGGAAGAGGATGGTGATTTTGTTTTTTCAAAGTAAAAGTCCACACAAATCATGTTAGTTTGACTGCTATTAAACACTTTCAGCATAAAAATTAAAGTGATATCTGTTTCAGTTAACATTTTCCTTCTCTTCATTTGCTGCATTTTTTCTTCTTTTAACCAGCCTCCTAATTTCCCTGAAATATTTTCAACTTTAAGTTGATTATTTGTTTATTTAAGGATCTATATTAGTCCCTAAGATGGTAAAGACAATTCTTTCTTGGGGCCACACCACAAGAATATAGTAAAATGATATTAGTATAAGTAGGATATATATTTATTACAGAAATTAGAAAAACCAAATGTGTGGCCTTCATAAATTCTGAAAGTTTCTTATGATCATAAAAAACAAAAACAAAACCAAAGCTGTGTCCCAGGATGAAAATTATGCAGTACCTGCTACATATTCTGTTACTTGTATAACTGAATATGTAGCAGGTATATATATATACAGAAAATCCTTTACAACTTTATCAGTAGTTAGTAGTTTAGTTAGCATTTATACACAAATGTTATTAAAAATGTCAGTAACCCAGTTTGCTTAAATTTATCCTAAATCCACTCTAGATTCTTTTGTTAAAGAAGATAAATAAAAATTAGTTACATTTACTTAATATGAATTGGTGCCAGAGTCATTCAGGTGTAAAAGTTCATTCTTGACTTTGTTTAATCGCAAGAAAGAAATATACTCCAAATCAAATGATGAGCTTCTAACATTTCAGTTTTCAGTGTTTTATATTTCTTTTTTTCTTTTCTTTTTTTTTTTTTTTTTTTGGTTAACTTTTTTTACCTTTACCTAAATTAGAACTGTCTGAATACTAATATTTAACTATCACATAAAAAAACATGCAATGATTTCAATAAATCTCAATAAATATTTTTGGTAATCTCTCTGTATTTGTTTTTTTATTTTATTATTTTATTTTATTTACTTATTTGTTTATTTATTTGTGGCCTTTATGAACCTCGTATTCTGGTAGGTAGTCGTCGTGAGGCTCCTAAATCCTAGTA